CAGCGACTCATCTAGACAGAGCTAGACGAGTCATATGGTTTAAATACAAGAGAGACGTCAGTTTGGTTCCTTATCGTAATGTGCCGCACAGTGTGATCTGGTTTATGCTAGGCACGCGCTTCAACAGCCAGGACCACGATTTGGCCGTAGTGGATTTACACTGGAATTCATCAACATTTGCGTAGCCGAGGTGCTACGCTGCGTTGATGATCGCACCTAGCGAGGCTTTGCGTAGCGTACTTCGAACTCGTGTACGCCTCACTTTACGCAACGTTGATAGAATCCGGCCCGCTGGTTACTGTAGTCTGTCCCAGGTTACTGCCGGAACGTACCCTGGGTACGGTCCGGTATATAACCGAAACGTACCCTGTCACATAACATTTGATATGGTGGAGGGTTAGGGTTAGGGTTTCGAGTTAGGGTTAGGGATTAGGGTTAGGGTTGAGTTAGGCGACTGCCACAGACGTGCCGCGTTAGTTGGACGTAAGCAGAAAGGTCGGTCCGGCAATATTAGGATAGTACCAGGGTACGTTCCAGTAGCACCGGACTGTATCTCAGCTATAGTATGCTAATGGTGTGCAGGTGAAATCGGGCTGGCTATAAGTTATTTTGTTAAACGTTGATGTTTATTAATTGTTTGTCAAATGTTGCAACATCGCTTTCACTATGTTTAGTTATGTAACTCATGTATTTCCATTTTTTAAAATTTCATGCTCGAGAGGGTCGCTTCAAGAAATAAAATGCTAATTTATTCAATGCATAAAATGCTGTTGTGACGGTGGCGTCCGCGCAGCGAAAGAGCGGTGCATTTTGGAATAAGTTTTGGAGTGCGCAATGTTTCGGTTTTCAAAGTGAGAATGCATAAAAATGCTTAGCTTAGTGTCAGAGCACTTTTGAAATGTAAAACATAACTTATCAATGTAGTTAACAAACGATCAGTATATCTGGTTAAGGTAAATATTAAGATGATACGAAATGCCTGCGGCAACTGTACGCGGGCTATATATAGAGGCTAGATACGCGGTTGAGCTTGTTGTAAATTCATAAAGTCTCACATAATTGCTCTGTTTGCTAAGGCACTTTCAGAACCGGCAAACAGGCCTTAAGGCAGGCAGGCCTAGATAAGACCATAAGCTCTAAGTACTATAGCCTCGCGATCGCTGCCGCAGGGCTATAGCACATATCTGCATGATGTAATGCTAAGGCTAAATGGTCACAACTGATGTGACGCAAAAATCTTATCCCCAAAACGTAAAACTGAATAGGGCTTTTTAACACTTATCTATCAGCAATAGGCATCTGCACCTATGCTTTTTTGAACACATCGCACTAACTTTAACACCAGGTATGTATGCATAGATATATATCCGCCAAAGTGCTTAGCACTGAAGAGTCACGCGTGCACACATAAGCAGAGCAACCGCATTTGAAAACAACACCAGTAGTGGCTAAGACTTTGAGGAATAACACATAAAATACCTGGTGTGTAAAGTTGTGAAAGTGGTTCAAAAAGATAGTGAGATGTCCATGGTTGATAGATAAGTGCTTAAAAAGCCCGATCATTTTACGTTTTGGGATAAATTTTTGGTCAGCATGCAGTTTGGACCATTTGCTTAGATTACATCTATGGCAGAAATGTGCTATAGCCCTGCGCAGCGATCCGCGGCTATAGTACTAGAGCTATGGTCTA